TGTCTCTTTGTAAAAATAGATACACTTTCATATGACTTAAAAGATATATGTGCATATAGTGAATAAAGTTAATTTATAATTCATACTGGTTCAAGTTTTTAATATTAGACTTTTTTTTTTTTTTTACCAGTACCAGGGATCAAACTCACGACCACGTGCTTGCAAGGCAGGCGCTTAAGCCGCTGAGCTAAATTCCCAGCCCCAATATTAGACTTTTTTATATGATAAAATTAGTGTGGCTTAGTTTTATTCATCAAAGTATCTCTTACTGTTTTAATGAATTATTTATGGATATTTCTTTTAAAATTTTTCATACAGAAAATGTATTTAGCATCAATAAAGTATTTCAAGACAAAATCATGAAAGAAATCCCAAATGACAATATTTAAAATATATATGCAAAGTCAGTGTCATTAGAATAGGTGAATAGTGTCCTAAACTGATAACTGAAGGTGGAACATATAAGCATTTGCATTTGTGTTGTTTCATTGCCTTTTAATGGAGACATAAAACTAACATAAAAACTTAAACTATTCATTTTAATCTGAACCTCCAATGATGGGATACCACAATAGTCTGATTTTTAAAAAGTAAACAATTTAAACAAATGTTTCTCTGTAGGGTGGAATAATATTGATTGTACGCCAAGCATGTCAATAATCCTATTTCATTAATTATTTTACACATTGTCTTGCTTACTTTTCCCTCATTGTTGAGACAAAATATCTGAAGCCCAATTGAAGGGGAACAAAAGTTTATTTAGCTTTATTTATAGGTTGTGGAGGTTTCAGTCCATAAGCAGCTGGCTCTAAGGCAGGGCAGCATGGCTGAGGGGCAACCATTCATGGTGGCTGTAGCAGACCCCAAAAGTGACAAGAGTAAAAGGGCAAAAGGGAGAAGCAATATGCTTTTCCTTCCTTGTATTGCATGCAGGATGTCCTCTCCACAGTGGGTGCAACACTCACATCAACAGTCCCAGCCCTAGACAATAAACAAATCACAAGCTCTATATGCAGCCATATTTGAAAGGTCAGCTTCCTCTATAACGTAATGAAGCTTTAGGGGGACATTCAGATACAAATCATAACATGTTATTTTGTTTTACACATTATAATAGGTAATTTCGACTCCATTTTATCATGAAGCTTTAGAAAGTTGTATGTATAGTCATATGCTGTTTGAATAGTCTTACTAGTAATTGGAAGAGTTACGACTCAGAAACTCAGATTCATTTGTATCTAAGACATATTCTTTGAAGAAATGTTAATACCTTATAGTAAATGCACAAATCATCAGCAAACATATGTATAGTAATAAAAATTACAATTAAGACTTAGAAATTTGAAGGCCTGGTGTTCTATTTTTGTAATGTAAAATATTTTAATTTTATCTTTTGTGAGACTAGCAAAATTTTTGAAATACAAAGATGTTCTGGGATTTCATTTTCATAATCTGATTAGATGAGCAAGATTTACTTTCTTGTAAACAAGAAAATTTTGTGTAACTGGCTGTTTATTGCAAGAAGTATGATATATATATGAAAAATTGCATTGAAATACATTGGGCAATTTAGCATTCACTTGATGAAACTTGATTACAGCTCATATATCAAATCCTACCCCTGTTGGGAAATTCCTATCCAACTTCACTATTCCCCTTTTTTGGTTTTCTGATTTCTCTAATGCTTTGCTTACACAATATTGTCAAGTTATAAAAACTTTTTAAAAAAATATATAGAAGGGAGAAATAGGCCTTTAAAATAACTTCCATCTCATTAGAATAGCTTAGAAAGCAGAAAGTTTTGTATTAAATGGCAAATAGGGGGATTTTAAGAATTAAGCTGTTAGTGTTAAACACTAGAGGAAAATGGCATTGTCTTGCACCTAATATCGAGAAGAGAGTCTTTAACTCAGAAGAAGATAGCAAGGTACATTCAAAGCCAGGACAAGTACTTCCAGAAAGAAAAAGAGTTAATCTTGGGAGCAAATCGTTTCCAGATATGATGCACAAAAATGGAACTTCAAGAGAAGTCATTTCTTTCTAACCATATGAAAGAAGAGTTGAGGATGACATTTCATTAACAGTCCATTGTCAGCTATTTAATTATACGGACACAACCTTCAAAGGAAAATAGAAAACAGTGAGCCTATAACCAGGAGATTTGGAGAAAAAGGCTGCAACGGAATCGGGAAACAACTAACAATCTACTAAAGAGGGTGCCACTCACTTGCCTTTTTGCTTTAGAAAAAAATCCTTCAAGTGACAGCATTTGAAGATTGGGTAGAAAGTTAATCATTTATTTCAGCATATTTTTTTCTGAGATGCTACTTTTCATTGAAATACTCGAGAAAGTCCCCTTGATATGCTTGTATTTCATGTATGTACCACAACTAGACCAGAAACCAGGAAACCAGGAAAGAGAACGTTTACCTAGAATATAAGGCATAGAATCCCCACTGAATTGCTTTATACTGAATGGGTAAAAGAAAGGTGTTTGTATTCTGTGGTGCGCGTGTGTATGTGTGTGTGTGTGTGTGTGTGTGTGTGTGTGTGTGGTATTTGGCATTGAACCCAGAATTTACTGAAATACATTCCTATATTCCCTTTTTAAATTTTGAGACAAGTTCTTACTAAGTCTCTGGATAGGAGACTGCAATCATCCTGCCTCAGCCTCTCAGGAGCTAGTTTTATAGCTATATGCCACTACATCCAGATAAGAAAGCTTTTAGATAATAAATTTTCTTGAAAAAATTATTTTGGTTTAAAATAACTTAAAAATCATGGTTAATGGAATATTGTATATAATTGTATTCAACTGCAAAATAAGTGACTTTTAATGTTATAGTTATATTTATGGTAACAATTCATATTTATTCAGAGATTACTTGACTTTATCATTGAAAACTACAGGTTATCATGGGGTTTTTTTCAAAGTTGGAAAGAAGTCATTTGGCAATATTTTAGATAAAAATGGAAATTCTAACATTAAAAAACATATATATTCTAAGCTGATTCAAGTCTAATTACCAAAATAAATATATTAAAATGAACCCATAAAAATTTGAAATAATGGTAGAAAAAGACCGAGAAGCAAATTTGGAAAGCAGTTCAAGAGAAACATTAAGAAACATCAGATAACCCTTAAGACAAAAATTAAGCATCGCAGTAAAAAATCAGCATTTGTAGCTCTAAAAATGCTTAATGAGGCCATTGCAAACTTACATCATGATAGATCCTGCAGTCAGAGAATTTAAAATTTCAGAAAGAGTTCTTCACCCAGTTTCTTCTTCCCCTTTCCGGAGCACACACCTGTCCCAGCAGAGTAGCCCCATCTGTCACACCTCATTCAGCCTCGTAATGCTTCTCTTCTGGTATTTGTCTCTCTCTGCTTCTAACATGAGCAGTTTCCACGTTTCCGTGAATACATTTCCATGATAGCAGGGTCCTTGGTGGTCTGGGCACAGCTCTTAGAACCCTACCTCCCAGTTCTCAACAAACCCTGACTTGGGGATAGAATCTTACCAGTGCTGTTCACTCCTTTTTAATAGTAAAACAGCTTCAATATGTGCTCTAGGTTTCTGCTTCCACTTTTCACCACCAAGTCACTTCTCAATGACAATCTGGTATCTTCTTTGCCACTCATGGGAAATGTGCTCTTGGCAAGCACCAAGACAATTTTCTCAGCTCTCATTCTGCTCAAATAATTCTGCTACATGTATTACAGGGTGTACTATTTTTGGATTATTTTCAACCTCTGTATGTGAACTGCCATTCCTTGTAACTCAGTTGTGGATCCTTTTTTTTCCTGCTTTATATATATCACATCTCTTCTACATAGCTATGTCTTCTATATAACCATAAATACAAATTTCTTATGCTAGTAAAACTTTATGAACCATTATGTTTACATTTTTTTGCTTTGAATGTTCTATTTTCGCCTTGCAAATTCCTGCTTCTTCAATGAGATTCAGATCATATAATGAAAACATCAGTTTCCTAAGGAAGTGCTCGTCTTCCAGTTCTGTTAGCTTTCAGAGCTAACAGAACTCTTTTATCATAAACCACAAACACACTTAGATGTTTCTTTTTTATCTTGCTATAGTAACCGGCCCAAACATCAACTGTCCTAATTATTCCAAGTGGTTTATTTATATGTTGAAGAGAACGTTTTTAGATACTCACCATTCCTTGCTAAAAGCAAAACTGCTTTCCTGAGTTTTGAATTTCCAGAATCCAATTAGTTGTTAGGAACCAGACATTCAAAATATTTCTTTTGCAGAGTTTGTGCTGATGCTGTCCATCACTGTTTCCATTTGGTATCTCAACAGTCAGTGGACAGCACAAACACAACATGTGCAAATGGGAGTAGGGGTCTACACCGCACTGTCCAGCATCTCTGTCTTTATTATTGCCATTTTATTAACCCAGCATGAAAGACGTGGCATCATCTTCCAGTTACCTCCTTTTCTTAGTAATTAGTGGTCATTCCAACTTAGTAAAGCCTGGAAAAAGGATTTACCATCTCAAGTTTTGACTACTGAAAAATATTTGTGTGTCAGTTGTCCTAACATGGATTTAAAAATTCTCCTAGAAAAAATGTTCCTAAACTACATCTATAATTCTGTAACCCCATGCTTAGAATGTAAAATCATACTTACCTAGTGCTTTTAAAATGAGAGAACTTCTTCACTCTGGTGCTTAATATGTTCTACAACTTGACACTAATGTACAATTTCAAAAATTCTTACTATCCTGTACATGAATACATTGATTTTAAAAAGTAGTCTTCTCACTGGTTACACTTCAATAATTCATTCAAGGACTACCCTATAAAATTAATGTGCACCAGGCATTGTTCTAGTTTCTAGGAGCACACACAGATTTCTGCACCCAACTGTGCTTAGCATAGAATCAAAAGAAGATGATAAGGAGCATGTGGTGAAAGTCATTTCCTAGAACCCTGCTTGGTGATAAACAAAAAAACCTGCAGAGTTGCTCACCTGAGGTGCAGCGCCTGACACGAGTAAGGTTTGTCTTCTACTGGGAGGTTCACAACATCAAAGGAATGACAGTGACTGGTTGTAAAGAATTAGAGGTTATCGATGGAGTTTATCAGGGGTATGGATCTCCCACACAAAGCCACAGCTTGCTGAAGCTGTTCACCATCAGCACAAGGCAGTGTTTTCTTCAGTGATTAAGATTTTTTAAAAATTTTATTTAAAAGGAAAAAGAGAAAAAACAAAACAAAACAAAGCAGTGTAAGGGTACAATTAATACAGAACCACAAAAAAAAAAAAAAAAAAAAAAAAAAAAAAAAAAAAAACCAGCAAGAAATCACCAGTTAATAGATTACAATTATCATCCTAGAGACAGCTGCTCAAGTCACAGTATCAAAGCATACAAAGTGGACATTCAAACAGTGAGACTGCAAACAGTTGTGTTCAATGATCCAACCAAAAACATTAATATGGTCATCTATTTAACACCCCTAAACACACTTGCAGTTGTATACGTTAGAGTGCTTTTTTTTCCCCTCTCTTTTTTACAACAAAATTTACACATTTTGTGTTTTATACTCCTTAGTTCTTATTACTTTTTTTTTGGAAGAGAACAAAGTCAAATATGGCAAAACAAAGCTGTCAGTCAAAACCAAGGATAGACATAGCACATGATGTAAAAACAGAGTACAAGGTTATTGACAGTGGTTACCATAATGCCTCTTGCTTCCTTAAAAAGAATTGTCTATCTCATTAGGTATTATAAAGTTGAACAAAACAGTAGAGAACAAGACCAATAAAACCTAAACCTTGTAAACACTACAGGACTTCCAAAGAAGATAATAGTCAAACCAGAATGGGCATCATAGTGAATCTTATTGCCTTCAAAGTAGTTGCCTATACCCTCAAACTTGATACTATCATACAGAATGGAACAGAGTCTAATCAGTCAAAACGAGATAGTGGGAGTATTACAGGACTTCAAATCAAGTTAATAGGAAATCAAATAAGTTATTATAATATATCCTGCTGATTTTTAAAAGGCCTCCCACATTCACTGGCAAACAGAGCAGAGATTTTTTTTTTTTTTTTTTTTTGTCTTTTTCCTTTTTATGGGTACCAGGGACTGAACTCACAACTACCTGCTTGCAAGCCAGGCGCTTATGCCACTGAGCTAAATCCCCAGCCCCTCAGAGGAGAGATTTTTATGAAGCACACGCAAAATGCAGAGGGAACAACCCCACAGATGATGTGGCAGTTTGAACACACAGGTCATGTCTGGAGTGACTGACAAACAGGGAGCAGTGGGAGATCAGGCTAGAATTCAGTTTGGAGCCAGATTTTTCAACTTCCGGACTGAGATGATAAGAAGTTCACAAGTTTCCCCATTTTGTAATGGGAAATCTCAAAGTTAAAGCAGAGGTTTGTCTGATTAAATCCTTTGCCCTTCTGCTTCCTTTTCTTACCCAAATATTTAAGTTTTATTTTCTCTAGGATATACCTGCATAACATAGCGTTTCCCATATCTGAAAATGTATGGTATCACCGGTCAGTAATGCTCTTTCTTTTTTTTTTTTAACCCCCTCCAGTACTGGGTGTCAAATCCAGTAATTCATGTGTGTTAGGCAAAAAATGCCACCACTGAGCTGTACTCCTGCCCACTAATGTTCTTTTAATTTTTAGTTAGAAAGGAATTCATAGATTTGAGAAGTATGTGTCCTGTTTTCCTAAGCAAATTTTACATTCACTGAAGCTTGTAATTCTTGCAATTCTTGTAATTCTTGAAATGGTCAGCAAACTCACATTAGTTTATTAACTGCTATTTATTTATGAAACAGTGTATTAAATAAATTAGTAATTTATTAAATAGACTCTGTTGGCTTCTACTTTTTCCTTAAAATAAAATACAATGTTATACAAATGTATCACTAACCTCAGAAATATGGAAGGAAATGAGTTCTCCTTGGTACTGTTAGATCTGCTTACACATCCTGTCAATTCAACCTTGTCTTCCTCACATCTCTGTAGTAATAAAAAACAGTGGAGAGAGAGAGAGAGAGAGAGAGAGAGAGAGAGAGAGAGAGGGAATGATGTCTGGGACTCACCTCATTCTCTGTGTGTCCTGATAGAACTCTAACAGGCAAGTTTCAAAATACTGCGTATATCTGGCCACCAGCATTTCCGCCTGGTGGTCATTCCCACCTGACAGTCCAGTCTTCATTTCCATTTCAGTCACAGGGAGGCTGAACATTTCCTGCTGTAGGAACAGGGAGTTAGGAACACTTAACACCCTGCACGAAAAGGAACATTTTTTGGCCTCTGCTTAGTGCAAATGTATTCACCCTGATGCTCAAAATGTCCATGAGTGTCACGTTATCCATTCACCAGAATGAGATTATCATCTATCTTTCAATAGGAGCCAGAAATAAAGCTTTTCTGATAGCTGTGTCAGTGATTACAGAGCAGAAACATTCACGGCTTGCTTTGGGTAAGGTGACGGGGAAACCCAGTCTGCGTCAGCTGCAGCTTCTTGGCCACTGTACCCTGCATGGCAGGCTGCCGGGGCACCAGACTACACTCATCACCACGAGTCCTTCTGTCCATGAGTCACTGCAAGGCACTGGAGGTACCTGAAGTGTAATTCCTCCCACTGCTCTGCCTCACCTGACCTGTGAACCTCTCTTTCCCTAACAACAGTCCTTTGATCTCTGCCCTTGCTCTTCTATCCTGGTTCACATCTACCTCCAGTCCTGATCATCATGGTCCATGATCACCTTTCTTCTGACCTCTAATAATTAACAGCTCCTCAGCTCTGTCAAATGAGTAAGAGGCTCCCTTCCCCGTATACAACAGGTTGGTGATATTAGTGAGGAAATGAAAATTGTATTCATCAGTTTGGGTCACCATAAAATAACAGATTGGGTGGCTTCAAATAACAATTTTTTTCCAGATTTTTGAATTTTGAGAAGTACAAGATTATGGCTCTAGACAACTGAGGTTCTATAGGCAGGGATGGGTTGTTCTTCTCTTAGCTAGAAGACAGATAGATACTTTCTCACAGTGTCCTCATAGGGTCTCTGTTCCCTGATGTCTCTTTCAATGAGGACACAATTCCTATTGGATGAGAGTCACTCATGACTTTATTTGACTTCAACTTCATCCTACAGACCTTGTCTACAAATACAGTTTTATTGGGTATAAGAATGTCAACATATATATTTTTGAGAGGACATAAATATTCTGTTCACGGTAGGTTTTGACTAAGAACTGGAAAATATGAGGTGGAATAAGTACATTTATTTCCAGCCAAAAGTTGTCACTTGGGAATATAGTTCTAGTGATAGTCAAAATATAAAAACATGTAAAGACGTCTATAGATCAACTAGACCATCCATGTGGACTCATTTGGCTTGTATCAGATATGTGCCTCTCTCTTCATTTTTCTTTCGGATACTTTAGGATAAATATTTAAGCAACACTGATTTGATTTCAAGCTTAGTTCATTTCTAAATTGTAACTTGATTTATACCACTTTTCTTATCTTCAGATAACTAGGATTTTATATCTCATTGCTCAAAAATATTTCACATCTGTATTAGAATACCATGTGTCAAAATCAAGGATTTTGTACATCAAATAAATGAGTTTCTGAGATCTTACACATGCACCACTTCATTTAGTAGTCACACTGGCGGCTCTCATAATAAGCATTACAATGTCACTTTCTTACTGGCCTCTTGCTGAATCAGAGAAGAGAAACAGAAAAGAGATCATGTTTACATGAAAGCTCTGAGTAAGGTTTCTGACTGCTATGGTTTGTGTTTAAATGTTCCTCCAAAGCCTCATGTGATCATGGGGGCTGGCCTTTTGAAGGTGACTGAGTCTAGCGTTTGTGATTGGTTGATTGTCTAGTTTAGTGCTGGGTTTGGTGGTGTGAGTGCTGGGCCTGCCCAGAGGCAGGTAGCTATAGGGGAGGGAAGGAGGCTTGCTCCTCCCCTTTTGCTCTTGTTGCTTGTGCTATTTCCTACTCCCATGAACTACTGCTCTTTTGCCATGGGCCACTTTGCCTTGGAGCTAGCTGGATGTGGACTGAAACCTCCACAAACTGTGAGTTAAATAAACTTTTTCTTGTCTCCTTTTGGATATCAGGTATTTTGTCTCAGCAATGAGAGAAAAGTAACTAAGGCTAAAATTGGTACTGAGAGAGTGAAGTCGTTGCTGTGATATTGCCTGGCCATTGGCTTAAGAACTTGGGACATTAATTCAGAAAGTTTTTGAGAGACTGACCAAAAGACAACCCTTGGATGCTGTAAACTATATTAGAGACTGGTTGGATCCTGGAAAATCAGAGTACTGGTGGAAATGCTGCTGGGTAAGATAAAGCTCAAGAGGCTTCTACTGATAAGAACTGCATCAGCTGCTAGATCTCAGGAGTGTATTGTGTTTTGGCTGAAAGTTGGTTTGCATTTTGCTTGTATTTAGAGATATTACTTGAGTGGTAGAAAAATTTCAGTGTAGTCTACTGTTGGGATGGTAGCATGGTTACTTCTGAGTATTTTTCTTCTCTTCTCTTTCTTTCTTTCTTTTTTTTTTTTGTTTTTTTTTTACCACATCTAAGTTGGAAATTAAGAGCAAAGTGTCAGTAGAGTGATTTGAAACATTTCACTGAAGAGAAGGCCCCACTGGAACTGTGGGTTGCAAAGATTAAACAGAGGAGAATGTGATTATTGAGAAGAATAGGCAAATGGAAAAATGAACTGAATTATTTCACCTGAAAGGAAGAATTTATTTGAATTGCAGGAGAGCTTTGTATTTTAGTCTTGCCATGTCATGTTAAAAGTTAATGGGAAGCAAGGATTGTGATTGTAATAGTTCTTTTAATTTGATTTTAATGTTGTTTTTATATATTTGTAACTAGACTAATCAATCAAAGTATTGTGCTTTACCTTGAATTTTGGTCACTCTGAATATTTTGCTTTTGGTGCTAGAATAAATGTAATAAGAATTGTATATATGTAACTGTTAATGTAAATCTGAATACACCAAGACATGTTAACTTTTCACAAATCTGCCACTAGAGACTATGGTTTAAGGAAATGTGTATGGTTATCAAGTTGGCTGGGGTGGACTGTAGTGGACTGCTAACTGGTGGTCAACTTAAACACCAGGTGAACCACACCAGGTGTGGTACTGAGTGTGGGTGGCCCACCTGAGGACTGTTGCCAGCATAAAAAGGAGACCCAGAGAGGAACAGTACTGTTCAGTTTCTCTGGAGTGTTGTTTTTTGGAAGCACAGGTTCTCTTGAAGAAGCTTGTTATGCTGACATCCCTGATTTGAACTCAGCTGTTGTCATCATTGGAGGAGCTCAGGACCTCATTGCTGCTGAAGATGACTGTGGCACATTTGGGGGGAGCCCTGGTTTTTATCTTGAGAGACGCGCTTCTTCCACAAAGCTTTCATCTGGTGGGCACAGATTTTCTAGCTTTCACTGCTGACCTTTGGGCCTTCCTAGGACAGATCTGTGAAATAGACTTGAATGAGTCATTGTCCTGGGCTCTAGGTTTTCAGCTGCACTCAGGCAGTTTATTGCCATGGAATCCAGGCCCTCAGCTGAATTTTCTAGGTCTTTAGTGTTGTGGACAGATTTCCTGCACTTTCTTTGTATTTGACTCCTTGGGTGATGATTATAAATTATACTATAAATTATGTGTCCTGTATGTAATTATTCTTGCAACCTCTGACTACAATGGTGACCCACCGAGTTTTCTGCTATTCCATGGTGGTTTTCTCAACTATTTCTTGTAATATTTTTTATTTAAATTTTGAATATTTATGAGACTTTTATTCTAATGCTCAAAGATTAAGATGAAATGTTTAGTCATAGGAATAAGATTCCTCTGTTGTTATTGACTCCAATGATAAGATATTCACAGATGGATTTCTCTTTTCCAACCGACAAGTCAAAATTTGTTACATGAAAATTTTCATATTCTTTGCTACTGTACTATGAGAGCAATTTTTACTGAGTCTCTCTTTTATTAAGATAAAATGTTAGGGCTTAAGTTTTGAATTCCTAACCAATAATAGTAATGATATATTAGCTGAGCCCCTATAATGGCAGTATATGATAGGTACTTTACACAATGTTTTATTTTACCTAATAACCAATAACTTAAGTATTGCTGTTTTATCTATAAAAATAAAGACTGAGACTTAAAAGATAAGTAAATTAATCTAGGAAGGTTGCTCAGTATCTGGAATTAATCAGACTCAAAGGTTGAAGGTACAATTCACTGGATTATCTATTTAGTCTAAGAATCTGACATCAACTGTAAACTGGAGAGGGGTTTCTCTCATTTTCAAAAATTCCCTACAAAGACCCAGATAAATCCCTGAAACCAATTATACTTACAGTCATGGTTATTACAAGCAAAGGCGATGCACTGTAAGAAATGCAGAAAACAGAATGTGAACTGGTGAAGGATCTAAATGGGAAGCCTCCACACAGTTAGAGATGTGCAATTTTCCCTTCTAGAAAACACAGCAAGGCGTCAGTGTTCAGGGATCTCCTGAGATTTCCTTACACGGGTATCATTGATGAAGTGTGGTTAAGTTCAAACTCTACCCTCTCCTAACTCCCTCCTCTGAGTTTGAACTGGCTTAAAATTCAGCCTCTATTTATGTGGTCCAACTTTCTGCGGTGGCTAGATGCCACCCTGAGTTGCCTCATTAGCACAAAGTGTTGACAGAGAACCCCAGAGCTACTTCATTAGCATAAACTGTCAGAATATCCCAGATAATAGATATCAGAATCATAATTTAATCCTGTATCTGTTGGTATCCAAATACCACTATTGGCCTTTTCGTCTCATTTGCTTAGCATCAGACCTGACAAAGAGTGACTATCCAATAAACCTTGAATTGAACTGAAATAGTGAATCCAACAGATTTTTCTTCTGCATAGAATAAAATATCATAATAATTATTGATACACTTAAAATGAGAATAATTTTGTCATTTTGTGAATGAACTTCAGAGTCAAGAGTTAATTGTGAAACCAGCTGTTGTCCTCC